AAAGAGGCAAGTTTGGGAAAGAACCCTAAGAACGCGGCAGCACTAGCGGCACGGGCGGAACGAAGGATGAGCAAGAGTAAAGAGCTGGTCGCACAGGGTGGACACTTCCAGGTTCTAATTTTACCTTCGGACCAACTTCCGCCCTTCTGTCACCGCCCCGTCTGTGCCTGAGCCTGCACCAGAAGCCTGGTTCAGTTAGCCGGAAATGACGCACAGAAGACAGATTTCCGTACGGATGGCCCAGCCGGAAGTAGAGTCCATATGGAAGGCGCCATCTTGGTAGTCCGCCCGGGAGATATGGATCCTGAGGGAGGTCAAAAGTCTCTGGTGCTTTTCAAGCGTGCTCGCCTCTCCTTTGGCCGCTCCCAGTCATGAGTTCGCGGGTGCGGACGGAGCCCCTGCGTGGGGACCCACCGCTGTCGATCCCGGGGGACCCCTACTCGGTGATAGTGCTGCTGCGGGGCTACTCGGAGCCGCAGGGGGCCGGGGGCGCGCAGAGGGCGGACGGCTCTGTGACGCTGGTGCTGCCCACGGCGTGGGAGCCGCGGCGCGCGCGTGGAGAGGACCCCGCGGGGCTGGACACGCAGGCCGCCCTGGAGCAGGCGGGCTCGGGCCCCGTACTAGTGGACACAGGAGGGCCCTGGGCCCGAGACGCCCTGCTGACCGCTTTGGCCGCGCATGGCGTGGACCCGGACGCCGTGACCCTCGTGGTGGGCACCCACGGCCACTCAGACCACGTGGGCAGCCTAGCGCTGTTCCCCCGTGCCGCGCTCCTCGTCTCCCACGACTTCTGCCTCCCGGGGGGCCTCTACCTGCCCCACGGGCTGAGCGAGGCGTGCCCGCTGCGCCTGGGCCCGGGCCTCGAGGTGTGGGCCACGCCCGGCCACGCGGGGCTCGGTGACGTCAGCGTGGCGGTGGCCGGCACCTCCCTGGGCACAGTCGTAGCGGCGGGAGACGTGTTCGAGCGGGAGGACGACGGCGACACGTGGCGGCAGCTCAGCGAGGACCCCCCGGCCCAGGAGCGCAGCCGGCGCAGGGTGCTGGCGGCCGCCGACGTCGTGGTGCCCGGGCACGGCGGACCGTTCAGGGTCTTCAGAGAGCCCGGAGCCGGTGCAGTGCGCTGACGTGGGAGTGCGGGGTTTCAAGCACGGGCTCAGGACCCGCCGCTGAGCAGCGCCGAAGGGAGCCGTGCCTGGGCCATGAAGCCTCCCCGGGCTAGACCAGCCGGATGATCTCTGCAGAACCCCTCCCTCCCCCCAGGGACTGTGCTGAAAACACCCCAGGACCACGATCAGTGCTGCTGATCCCTCCGTGGCCAATCTCTGCTATAGAAGAGGGAAGTCCGACCACTTTCACCTCTGTTTCCAAATCTCATTTTCCTCTCCTCGGAAATGACAGGAACACCTAACTGCCTGCCACCGTATGTGTGAACGTCAAACGAAATAAAAGATAGAAAAGTATTATCCAAATATAATGCCCTAAGCAAATGTCAGATATTCATGTTGGCAGTCATAATACAAGATTGGGAAAATCTGAGCCTTTTCTGCACCTACCTAGGTTCAAGGTTGCAGCTGTGAGTAAGAGTAAGTGGGTATGCCGACCTCAACATCCGAGTGCTAGTTTTTAAAATAAATTTCTGTTCTTTTGTTTTTACATTGACTAAATACCTCCCAGTATCTGTCCCCAACCCCTTAAAGAGAGCCTCCCATGGAACAAAGATTTTTTTTTAAAGAGAAAAAGCAAAGCTGACAAAAAAAAAACAGCAACATATATAAGATACCCATGGAGCTCTTCCCTACCCCCTTCCCCCAACCTCTCTAAAGGGCTTGGTGGGAAGTGTCTTCTCATATCTCTCTGCTGGGACCAAGTTTATACTTTGTAATTTTGCCTGTGTTCCATTTTTTGTTGTTTTCTAATTACTTTTCTTTCCATTTACATTGTGTATAGTCTTGGTTCTCTACATCACTGCATCCATTCATGTAAATCTTTCAATGCTTCTCTGTTTTCATAGAGTCTTACATTCTTAAAGGAATATTCCATCACATTCATCTATCACAATTTGTTTATCCTATCCCCAGTTGATGGATATCTACTTTATTTCCAGTTCTTTGCTTCTGTGTTTTGGTACATATGAGATCTTTCTTTTTATCAATGACTTCCTTCGGTCATATGCCTAGGAATGGAATCCCTGGGCCAAACATTATGAATATGTTAGCCACTTTCCATACAGGTGTTATTCTTGCCCACCCTCTAAGGCCTAAACTTCAACTGTCTTTACAAAAAAAAAAAAAAAAGCCCAAGCATCTCAGACCTAAGTTCCTTATATCTTTCTGTAAAGATACTCTGAGGAAATAGCTGCTCCTGGATCTTAAATACATCACCTGCTATCATTATATCACATCCTGTTTAACACTAAATCTAATATGGATAACACCCCTAGTGCCCTGCCCCAGGAGCAAAGTGAATACATGAGAGCAAGGATGAGCTCATTCTGAAAATGAGCTCAAGGGTACTTGCTGGTGCTTCTCCCCACTTCCAGCCTTAGCCCCAGCTAAAGAATGTTGTGTCCTCGCTGGGTGCTCAAGTCTGATGAGATAAAATACTGTTACCCTAGTCAACTTTCTAACAAAGAGAGTGTCTGGATTCCAAGTCCAGGTTTTCTTGCCCTTAATGTGCTCAATGGGGACAGACAAAGGAAAGAAACAGGCTTGCCTTATTGCAGGCATCTGGTTGGATGTCAAGTATGACTGGATTGGTAGTCATGAGCCGAACACCTGCAAGGCAGGGCAGCAGAGAAGAAAAGGCAACATGGAGGAACCATCGGAGGTAGAGGGTGGTCCAGTTGCTGCTATACATTGACCTATAATCAGTGTTGGCCACCTCAATCACCACCATGAATGTGGGAAGAGCATGGGCTAACCTCACCATAACTTCCCAGTTTCCCACCAAGCTGTAGGTGAAGATGTGTGGAGAGAAAGTCATGAAAGAGGGATCCAGGCCAAGCACCGCCACAGGCCCTGTCTGTGGGGTACCCTCTGCCAATGCCATTCAGGGATTCAGAGTCCAAAAAAGCCACATGAGTATGGACCAGGCCAACCGCTGATGCACCCTTGGCACCTCAGTGCCATCCCTGGGACTGTGGTAGGTTACATGCAGACAGATGGTCTTCAGGAATAGGGAATAAGAAGAAAAAAAAAGTGGGGTGAGGGGGGAAGTCAGGACACCCAAACAGCCCATTCTAGCATATACCCAACACATTCTCATTCTGCTTTTCTATAGGCTATTTTCTCCAGTCCAGAATATTCTCCCTGTTCTTCCCTACCCATCTAAATCCTTCAAATCCATCAGATCATAATAGTTTTTGTTTTTATCTTTGGATCTCCAATGCCTCACATAGTACCTGGCACATATTAGGACACAGCTGTCAACCTTGCTGGTTGATTTTTTAAATTACTCTGAGAGAAAGACCTTGTGAGGCCCCCTCACTCCAACAGGTGTTGATGCTGCTAACAAATAAGAAAAATTACCTCCTTTCTATTTCTTTGTCATTTTTGAAAATAAAATTGCAGAGACCCCTTTGAAATAATCACATCCAAATTTGCCCTCTGTGTTCTACTTGCAGTTCTTGTAAGGTCTTCCTACCTCCAGCTCCCTAACTTGCACAGATCTTCATTGAAATGAAGTGAGTTTCTCACTTCCACTGACCTTTCATTGGGGAATATTCCCAGTTAACTAACTTTTCTATAACTTGCCTCTTCCTGCCCCCCCCCAACCCTGCCCATGCCTAGTGAGTGTATTTGATCTTATTTTATTACTTCTTTTCTCGCCATTTCTGCTTCAGACCCTGAAAAAATAGGACAGATGGCAGGAAGAATCAGGTGCACAGAGAACAGTTCCAGCAGTCTGACAACTCTACAATTGGGACAAGAGAGGGAAATATTCTGGCCCTTATCCCACGGGGAGAGGAAAGGGAGGGAACAGCATTTATGAAGCACCTACTATGTGCCAGGCACTGTGCTAAACAATCGTTATTATCTCATTGGATCTTCACAACAACCCTGTGAGCCAGGTGCTATCAGGATTGAGAGGGAAGTTGCTGTGCTCAGGGTTTAGCGCTGGCTGGTAAGAACTATGAACTGAGGGGCATGAATGGTGGTTGATGCAAGGTGAGAGTCCAACCCTCCCATAATTGTGTCTCTCCCATATGTCGGCACAAAGCCCAGTCCTCTTCTGGCTTCTTACAACTCTGGACTCCACTTAGACTTAAAGATCCACATGAATTATGCAAGGGAGTCACTAGTTCAGGAGGAAGACTTGTTGAGCGATTTTCAGGTTTACTTTTCTAAAACCCTGGAATAAAACCTTTTGTATGCCCCATTAATCCTAGAGCCTTCCATCCCATAAGATTGAGAGGTTTTCCTTCATGCTTCTTGAAAAGAAGACAGAAATTGCTATTTCTGAGATAGAATGGTTCTAAGTGATCCCAGGTGAACTTTTATATTAAATGAAATGAATTCATCTTCCTAGTGCATGGATGACATTTGTGAAGGTTACTTTGTCATGCAGTTTCAAATAACATGGCCATTTCTGATGACCCCAGCAACATTTGGGGGAGGGGAAAATCAATAGTCCACAATGTGACCTTTATGAAGTCAATGGAAATTCCTAATTAAAACTGTGGTCTATTTCTTCATTTGTTTTTTATATCTCCCTACCTTTTAAAAAAAGAAAAAATATGAGAAACTTGTAATTTAGTGAAAGGAGAATCAATTGGGAAACAAGAAGTCTGGATACTATTTTTTTGCAACTGTGTGACCTCAGAAGATTCACTTAACCTCTGGACTTCAGTTGATATACCTGTAAAGTGAAGTGAAGGACAGATGTCCTCTAAAGTCCTTGCCAGATTTACAATTATATTTTTGTGCCTGTGTCTGTTAAGTGTGATGGAGATGATGTCAACATGAGGCACTAAAATTTTAATCGTCTGGATCCATAAGTTTATTAAAATAACATACATGCCCCAAAAAGGTTGGATTAAGGCTCACCCCCCAATGTAAAGCAACATCAAATTTCATCATCCCCAGTGGTTTCTTTGTTTCTGGTTTTTTCAAAGACTCAGAAGAAATACCTTGCCTTGGTCACACAGCTAAGAAAATGTCAAAGGCAAGATTTGATCCCAGGTGACCCCTGACTTCAAGTCTTCTTTATTGAAATAAACTCTTTGATTTCAAGGATTGTCTCAACGTAGGTTCATTTCAACCTAACATTTACATTCCAATGGGAGGGAATACAGGTACACAGAAGACTGAATGCAAAGTATACATAATCTAATAAAGTACAAAAAGTAATGAAAAGCGATTTCAAGAGAGTACTAAAAATGGGGATGGGGTGGATTGTTAACATGTGGGAGGCATTGCCAGAGCTGAGCTCTTTGAAGGACACTTGAGAGTCCACATAATGTTGACTACCTTCAAATGTTTGAAGGGCTGCAAGTGGAAGAGTGATGCTTGTGGAAGGGAAAGAAAAGTGGGAAGAAAACACGCATTTATTAAGTGCCTACTGTGTGCCTTAATTCTACTAAATGCTTTACAAATATTATTTCATGGGCTCCCTTAAGAGGTATTGGGTTCCCCGTTACTGAAAATCTTCACTTCAAAGCTGAATGACCACATACTGAATGTTGTAGAATGTTGTACAAATTGTACCAGATGACTTCCAAGGTCCCTGCCAACTGTGAGACTGTGATTCTCACCAGATAACTCATAAGATCTACATCCAGGAAATCTGCCCAAAATCCTCTACCTTGTGTTGAAGATCCTAGTCCTAGATATTATCTCTTATTACTACCCACCACAATATCAAGTAATTCCCCCCTCCCATATTGGTCTGTTCTCTAATCTCATCAAATTAGGCCTTGAACACACACAGGACAACATAGACAAGTCACTGATCCTCCCTGGGTCCCAGTTTCTCCATATGTCAATTGAGGGGGTTAGACTATCTGTTCCCTAAGGTCCCTTGATGCTCCACGGGAAGGGGAACCTGCAGCCTCAAGGCCACATGTGGCCCTCTAGGTCCTCAAGTCCTCCCTTTGATAGTCATGTGGCCTTGAGGCTGTAGGTTTCCCACCCCTGCTCTACAATGATCTATGATCCTGATTCTCAGGCATAGTCCCTACTCTTAGGGGCAGGAAGGGATAGGTGCTCGGTCTAGTTGGGAAAACACAAGAACA